GGCCCCGGCCCCGGCGGCGTCCCCGCGCCTCCCTGCCGCCTTGGTAGCGCCGGTCCGCACTCGGCCTGACCCGGGACGTCACGGCGCCTGCCTGTGTTCCCAATGATAACTTGGCAGGAGCAGGGGGAAGCGGCCGGGTTTTTCCTGGGCTCGTTACCGGGTACGTGCACGTTTCTTTCGCATGCGGATTTTTTTTTTATTATTTTTTGGTTTTTTAAGGCGCAGTAAGGAAAAGCCGGGACAGGAAATCCGGGGCGCGGCGGGGGCTGCCGCCCCGCGATGGTGGCGGCCGCTCGCCGGCGGGCGCGGGGGAGCGGCGGCGCGGGGCGCAGGCATGCGTTCATCTCCGTGTCTTTCATTTTACCTTCAGGGTGACATTCAGTGCCGGGCGAGCCTCGCCGGTCACCGCCACGTCCCACCTGGAAAAAACACAAACAAAACCACCAAAAGAAAAAAAACAAACAAAAAAAACTGCCGAAAAGGGGGGATGGGGAGAGAGAAGGTGCCGGCCGCCCACGGCTGGGATGCGGGCGGCGGACGGGACACTTCGCCCAGGGGACGCGGGGACACTCGCGCTGCCGGCCGCCAGCAGGCCATGTGCCGAGCGGGCGGCGGGGGCGGGGAACGGGCACCGCACACACACACACACAAAAAAAATCAGTGAATTAAAAAAAAAAGGAAAAGCACCCGGAATGCCAGAGGAGGCCGGGCGAGCAGCGAGGATGCCGCACCGCTGCTGCCGTGCAGGCCCGGCGCCGCGCCCCCCCAATCCCCTGCAAGGCTCTGCAGGGGAAGGCGGGGGAGCCCCCGGCGCACAGCGCCCCACGGCCCCTCCGGAGCCGGGGTGCCCGGGGGGGCTGCGGGCCGGGCAGCCCGGGCCGCACTGGGGCACCTGGCTCGCAATGGCGTCGCCGCCGAGGAGAGCCAAGGACTGGCGCAGAGCCCGGCTCGGTGAGGGGAGCCGGGGCCATCGCTCCCCTCCTCTGCTGCTGGGGCAGCCGAGCAGCTGCTCCCGAAAGCAGGAGGGTGCGCGTTGGGGCAGAGCGAGCCGGGGCCTGCGGCAGCCCCGGGGCCGCTGTGAGCGCCGAGCAGGCTGGCAGCGCTATGCCCGGCCATGGCAGCAGCCACACGCATCCGCTGCCCTGGGTTCGTGTGCTTCGCAAAGCCGGATCCTGCACATCTTGAACGCTCCCACGAAATTCCATGGGCATTTTCACGTGTGAGACTTAACTCGCCTGCAGAAGTATTCCCAGAACTAGGCCTCGCTTAACCCATGGCAGCCTGAGTTTAAGTGTCTCCTCATCTAAAAACCAATCTACACATTGCACCCCAAACTGCTGCAGCACCACACCACCTACTCTGTGACCGCAGAGCGTCCCAGCAGAGCCCTGAGACAAGTTTCCCCTCTTCTGTGTTGCTTTTCACACCATCTATTATAATAACAGCAAGTTACAACATCACCAATGCACAGGTAACTAGCGCAGCAGAGTCCTTGAAGGGATGCGTGTAACAGGGCTGAAACAAATTTATTTTTTTTTTGCAACTGCCTCTGTTCAGCCTTAATATTAGCATTAATACTTTCAGTTTCCTCATTTAAATACAATAAAAGGGAAAATTGCCTTTAATATTGTTACTACTCAGGTCTTGCAATTCCAGTTTTTATATGACGATAAAGTCAGGGAGTAGTTAGTGTACACCTTTTCTGTTGCTGGTCTCAGTGCCTTCAGCAGCAGCTATGGTGGGATCACCTACTGCAGCTGCGAAAAGAATTGGGGAAGAAAGAAATAATTCTTGGAATATTGTACAGTCCAAGCGTCATTTCAGAAGCCTGAAATTGAAAGCACTGGGTTCTGGGTTTTTTTCTTTTTAAACCCAAGCTACTCAGGATGCTTTCTGGCTTGGCTAGAAAGACAAGTTTACTATACATTTCTGTTATGGAATCATTTTGAACTGCTTTTAGTCTAAATTCTTACCTGTCTTTACTGTCTCAGCAGAGTACATTATTGATATATGTTTTTGGTAGACTTGAAAAGCAACGTGTACAGCTTGATTGTTGTCGTTGTCTGTATTTCACCATTCATTTTTAAGTGAGCCTCTTCTGATTGATGTGAGGAATTTGTTTGAAAGGATGAAGGGTATGGCATAGCTACCCATGATGCTACTTAAAATTGCACCATAGCTCAGCTAAGAGATTTTTCATTGTGATTGTCACACTTTTAAAAGCGCGTGAGTTAATCAAATTTCTATTTTTAGAATGCACTTAAAGGAATATTAAAATGCATTAATTTCATTAAAATAAATGAGCAGATAGGTAACAAAATAAGTATCAGCCAAATAAGCAAGATCTCAACTATGAAGCCAAATGCAGCCCTAGTGAAATCATCTGAGTTGTGCTTGTCTATAGCACATATAATTTGGCTTCTGCAGTCACACAGCTGATGCTTTATTTGGTTTTCAGGGGTGTGTATATTAAAAATGTGCGAGCCACGCTGCTCCTCCAGCATGATTAACCACTGAAGTGAAATTCACCTGGCTCCCTTTTAGCTGTGCAATCCTATCACACGTGCACTTTTTGGTGTGGATACACACCTGAGATGCAGAGAGGTATTCCCAGTCCCTGTGTCAGTCTAAGGGATGTGAGCTGAGTCTGAAGTGAGGGTGTGCTAAATTGGATTTCAGCAGAGGCTGTTCACAGCATATATATGCTTCAGTTAATAGGCTGCACTGGAGTCTGTGCCACCATCTTTCATTACTGCTGTTACTCATGCCAGTGAGAGTAAAGGAAGGGTTGGTGTGTCTGTAATCACATATTAATTTGCTATGTAGATATATCCTAAGAACCTCTCAGCCCAGGAAAATTATACTGGAATAAGGTTGGATGTGAATGTAAAGCAGAACTGTGTTCAGATAGTTTATTCATTCTGGAATGACTGAGTTGTTTCCTGGTTTCACTTAATCCACTTTCAAAGTGGATTAAGGTAATTCAAGAAACTGAATTCTTACACTGGCGTAAAAGTTGTCTACGCATGGGTTAAGTCGAACACAATTACTGCAGTGTACCTAATAAGTGTCTTGAAATAACTTGGTGTGTAGACAAATCCAGAGTCCCACAGGTGAAAACAACAGAATTTAGCCATTTTGTATAACATGAGGTTAATTAAGCCCAACATTTGACCTACTTCTTTTCTTATGAAGCATATTTAATTCATTACAGGTTTTTCTTCCTCCATGAAATCCCCACAACAGAAATATATTTATGATCAGTTTCAAGATAGCAATGCTATGTGCACTCCACTAAAAATAAACAATTTAACCAGTATATTCTCTAAATACCTTCTCAACTGCCCTAAAGTGGAGAAAAGGTTCTTTACTGGAAGAAATACCAGCTTCTCAATCATAAATATTTTGAGTGGGTTGTTCTAAACAAAAGGTAAACAAACCCCAAAGCTCTGCTCTGCCCTCTGAGACACCCATGATCCATTTGACTGCATTCCATTCATAGCAATAGCATCCAGTCTGACTCAGCAATATTAGTTCCTGAATGAGGAAACTCACAGACTCACACAGAAGGGTTCGCAGAACAAGAGGGCCTTCAGGAGACACCTTAAGAATAGAGAGCTAATTTATAGTTTGCTTACAGAGGCCTGAATCAGGGAGAAACTACCTGAAACCCAGGCAGCCTCTCTGCTTCTGCTCTGAATCAGGTGTATTGCATCACTGGCAATACAGGAAAGTGACTGAACTGATAATGAGAACATATAAGATGTTTTGTGACCTTGTGCCAAGCACAAAGTTTGTCAAATGTCATTCAGTGTCATTCCATGCCACACACATCCACAGAAAAGAGGTGACTCTCTAATGTGAATGAAGCCTCCTAAACTTTGAGACTGTTTGTTGGTTTGCTTTTGTCGAAGGAGATGGCAGGGGAGAGGGGATTGAACCAAACAAAAACTAGAAGACGTAGAAATTATGTAAACTCAGGTAGTAAACAAGCCAGTTTTTTGAAAGAAGTATAAATATAAAAGCCAAATGATACAAATTGCTGACCCTTTAAACATTGACATAGGAAAAGCCATTAAATGCTGTGAAGATAAAACACTCCAACTTCTACTTTGTGTCAAAGACTGCAACATGTCACACATTACAGAGGGTGACCTAGAGTCTTCCCTTACACAGATAAAGTAGTCCCAGCTATTCTGCGTAACAGGCAAGGATGCCCGCAGGATTCTCATTTGGTGATTACAAGCATGGCTTTGCCCTCCTGTCCTTGTCTTGGTTAAGGATATAGGGAATGGATTTCACCTACAACTCCCTCATGCCAAACTTGTTTATTTAATTAAGAATAATTCCTGTAACAAAATAAGCATTGATTGAAGAAGGTAAACATGGAGAAAGATAAACAAGAAATCAAGTACTTAAATTTTGTGTTGCTGAATGACTTTTACCATGGTCTTGATATTAAGGCTCATATTAAGCCTGGTATTAAACTCAGATTGAAGGCAATGAGAGAAGGTTTTATAGGAGCATGCCTGATCTGAAATCCTACTTGAATAAAAGAAGGAATTAGATTATTGTACACTCTGCTTCCCCTGAGGGACCTCTGAGTGTTGGATCCACCTGCAGTGCTGGGGTATCCTGGCTCTCCCCCACTCCTGTCATTACAGGGGCATTACACATCCAGAGAGGAAGGTGTCCTAAAGCCCCAAGACGATTGGCAAAGCACATGCAAGAGGAAATCTCAGCGCGCAGCCAGTGCCAGGCAATGAAGGATCCTCCGTGGGAGTTGGTTAGTAGTGCCAATGTTTGATATTTGTCGTAACAACCACCGACTGTTTTGGTTTTTGTTCTAACAATGTGAATTATGCATTAAACATTAATACAAGTGAGTGTACTTTCTTTTGATCTTCAAGCATAAT